TAACTGATTTACCAGTACTAGGACAGATGACAGGACTGGGTGCTGTGTCACTTACCTCCCTCTGCTTTCTCTTCTGTGTGGTGGTAATGCCCCAGACAAGGACTGGAATTCAATCGTGTTGTTTCAGTCCTCCTTATCCTACCTTGCTCCTGGAACAGTTTCTTCCAGAAAGCCCAGTTAGTGTTCTCTCCTCTTTCTCAATCTAAATAAAAAAAAATAAATAAAATTTAAAAAATCAGATTATTCATTCTAAACTAAACATAATTCCACATTCTTTAAATAAAATTACTTTCTTTTCAACAAACTGCTAGGAGCATGGCTTTAGCTTAGAGCAAGCCAACCCACTTGCCAGACCTACCGAGGTCCATCACAGCTCAAAGCTAAACGAAGCTTACTCAAATAACCATCATTCTTTCTTACTACATCATTCTATCCTTCCTTGTCATGGTTTTGATTAACCGTGGTGTCTTCTAAACCCCAGCAACAAACAGACAAGTAAGAGGAGAGCAACCACACCTCTGACGCGACATTAGGTAACTCGTACCAGGACCCGCTCCCTATTTAACTCTGCCCCCACCCGAGGCCATCGGTAGCCGTGGGGCTCGGTCACCTCACGGCTTTGTGCGGCCATCGGAACTAAGTCCTGGGTCTGCCCTGCTGCAGCCCAGATGAAAGAGCAGCTCAGGATTAGAAGGGATTAAACTGCTACGCAAGTCCTTCACCTCAGTGGCTTCAGAAATTTGCAAGTCAGTGATTTGTTACAAAGGCTTCTGGATAATCATAAAAATAAATAAAGAGGAACTATCATTTTCTGATTTAACACTGCCGTTCTGTCTCCCTGCCCAGCTGGGACGACCTGCTCAGTCACAATACCAGGGCCCTCTCCTGCTTCACACCAAGAGTCCTTTCACCAAACTGCTCTAATGCTCAATCTGAAGCACTTAAATTTCAATTCCAGCCTTCCCAAGAAAAGTCTAAGAGAAATAACAGCAGCAGCAGAATTAATGTTCACAGTATTTTAGGAGCTACGCTCCAGGCCAGTACACCAACCCTCAAAATTTTTTTCTACACACTTTCCTTGAAGAAAACCATGGCACCACTTCCCAGGCAATACAAGCTCAGCTTTCAGATCAGTTCCTCCATTTCTGTTTCCTATTGCACACTCAGAACAGGCATTTGACGGTTCCAAGGCACTTGAAATTCCTCACAACCTGCCAGATGTCTGAAATAAACACACAGGTTAACGGGGGCATTACCACCACACAGAAGAGAAAGCAGAGGGAGGTAAGTGACACAGCACCCAGAAGCTGACCGAGGCGAGCGAGTGACACAGAGCCATCTCTTTTTCCTTTGTTACAGGGCAGCTGACTCTTTCTCTCACAAGTTTTCACAAGTCCAACACCGTGTTAAAGCCCACTTCACCTGTGCCATGCTCCATTCCAGAGACTTCCCTGGCAGAAACGGACTACTGGAAGCAAGCTGCTCAATAGCAGAGTCACGCTCGATGAAAACCATGTATCTGTTAGAAAGGTTAACCACCAGTGGCATGGGATATGGGGGACAGTGACACTCAACAAGTGCATAGTCAGGATTTTTAGAAGTCTGTTCCCTAGAATGCAAATAACAAAAGGCAGAAACACCATGAAGGATTTTTTTCTTTTTTAAGTAGTAAATCAGCTGCACAAGAATCAAGAAAAAGGTAAGAGAGCAACAAAAGAAACATTTTCCAAATATTAAGCTAGTTGTCAAGCAGTTGTCAGCCTCCCCACGCTCCCAGCAGTAGTTTGAGTTAAGCACGAGACACAGGCTCTGGCTGCTGCAAACATTCCTGTGTGAGTTGTGCCACACGCCTACCCCTTTTTGTGGGCTTAAAAGGGGTGGGGAAGGTGCAAGCTGGACGTGAGCTACTTCCTGCACACACCCGTCCTAACACCAAATACTGCACGGCCCAGCGTTAAAGACGACAGATTAAGAAAGAGATCTAAAAGCACTGGAGGGATCTACACCAGAGCGAGAGAACAGCATGAAAAAGCATGAAGAAGAGCCAAACGTGTCTACCCACCAAAGCACACTCCTGAGAACACAAGGGTCTTCAGGGAGGTCCCTTCTTCAACCCCCATTCTACGTGTGCAAGCACTCAAGGCCGTTGCTTCTACAATACGCCAGTTCAGCAGCCTTTGCTTCTACCAAGTATTTCAGAAGTACTTGAGGCAGAAAACAAACTCAAGTCCCACACTACAGCCACTGTTACAGCCCTGTCCTGCACTACCTACGAGCTCTTTTCCTGGTACAGGAGGAAGAAGGCCAAGCAAGACACCCTCCTCCTCCACTACTGCCTCCTGTTCTCCCTCCCTCGCCCTCAAAGGAACAAATCAGCAGCGAGATCACTCACCCTTTTCCACAGGGACAGGACACAGTCTTCAACCTCTTCAGCAAAGATCCCGGGGGGAAGCAACCCCATCCATGCTGGGAGATGAAGCCAGGAGCTCTCTGCAGAGAGCGTGGAGCCCACGGAGTTGCACGTTGCCACGCCAGCCCTGGAGATGCCAGCGGTGCTGCCAGCAGACACTTGCTGTGCCACTTCAGGTAACACCCGGCACCCGAGAGCGGGCTCTCCCAGCCTCCTGGCCCACAGAACTTCCCCCTCACCGATGCAGGTGGGCCAGGCAGCTTCCGTGGTTGGTAACAGAGGGCAAGAATGACATTCTTTGCTTTGGAAGACTGAAAAATTACATTTCAAACCCTTAAACTGGCAGTAGTTTCCTAAAGACGACTGAACCGGGAGGACTGGAGCAGAGAAGCGCCAGGTGCCCGGTTACTTGTTCCTTTGCTCACACAGGAGGAAAACCACACACGCACACACTCTCACATGCTTGCCAGCACTGTTTCTCACAAACCAAAGTGCCAAGTCAGAATTTTGCACTCTCCTCAAAGTTTTTGACCTGAAGACGGGACTTAATAGTTATTTCTGTAACGTGTTTTTTCAAAAAACAGTTAAGGACAAGAGCAAAGTTCTTGCAAGTCCTAAGCCTTTTCCCCCCTCCTTCCTTCCAAAGGGGTGGGAATGGGAGAAGACAGAAACCACTGCAAAAATCTCAAATCCACTATTTGCATGGGTTTATTCCAAGGTTTGGACTTCAAGGTTTTGCTCCAACAAGCCATCACTACCAGCAAGAAAGCAACATTTAGTTTGATGTTATCTTGCTGGTGTTGGTTTCTAGTGTTGCTGTAGAAATGGATACAGCACTTCTCCCAACAGTAGCCACTGTTTCAAGACTCAAACAGCAAAACATCCTACACCAAGTCTGCTGGCTTTACCCCAGTTACCGATACATCACAGCACTAGATTGTTTGTGACGAGCTGCTCTGAGGACAACACGGCAATACTTGCGTAAGTGAAGTACACAGAATTATTCAAGTAGTGACTGTGCAGTTGCCTGAAAACATAGCAGCAGCAGCTGCCTTCAGAGAGCCACTAAAGACTGCAGATTTGCTCTAGAGTTTCCTATCCATTTTTAAATACCACCACCTTAACACGTCTTCTTCTCAGCCTTATAACAAAGCTGGGTTGAGCTCTGAGCTAGAAGACAGATTTGTGTTGAAGACAGTAGAAACCAAGTTTACTCCGAGTTAATTGCCGTACAAGATCATACCAAGTCACAGACATCTCACTCAGTGATTGACTCAACCTTGGCAAAAACGTCCTTTTGGAAGATCTGCACTCAATCACCACTTTCAGTACAGTTTACAATAAGAAACCCCAGTGCATTTAAAGCCATTAAATATGTTCACATCTGCTGCACTAATTCACACGCCCAGAGCCTTCAGTTTACCTGGACCCAGACCTCACATACACAGCGTTAGCAAGAGCTTTCAGAGAGCTGAAGGCAATAGTTCAGTTGCAAATACCTTGTTCAGAAGCACCTGCTTGGTAACTCATGCTTAGAATTCCTCTTACTTTAACCTCGAATTTGTTTAGGAAGAAGCCACTCTAAATGGTATCTCTCTTATTACACTGAGTATAAATGAATATACTAAGGTTTAAAAAGAACATTTAGTCAAGAACCTAGGTCCTGTAACCAACACTTCCTAAGATGGGGGGAGTTAAAGAGGAAAGAGTAGCCCCGAGAAATGCACCTTTGGATGCACCTCCTTCTCTGCCTTAAAGAGGGTCCTTGCTCTCTGCATACCTTCTGCATTCTTGGGTCTAAAGAGGAATTCCAGGCAGCCCGAGGAAACCGCTACATCTGAGAAGCTTTAAAAGGTTTAAAGCAACATCATGCAGTAAGATTTCAACATTACCTAAAACAGAGTAAGTACTTGATTTACACAATGTTAAGTCCTGCACAGAAACCAGTCAAGTCATTCCTAATAGTACATTAGATTAATCATTTGGTATATGATAGCATATTACTTGTGAAGTCTTTGTCTATTTCCTTAAGACCTAAGAAGTTGTTCTCAGAGAGAACAAGGAAAGGTTGTTACATGACAAGTGGATTTAGCTTGTCAGATAAAAACAAAAGAAGAAAAAAAACCACAAACCCCAAAACACACAGCACGCCACTCCTCACCCTCCCCAAATACCGTATCACATTTATATATGAAGTCACTGCTAGTTGCTGGACAGTAGGGGTTGCGTTAACGCCATCAGTAGAGGTACAGGGAGCCAAAGAAAAAGCAGCCCACTTGTAACAGGTTAACATTACAGGTTTTGACAGGAAAATCCTGTTAGGCAAGAATAAGGCATTATGCTAGGCTATGACATTAGGAAGACTCTTGTGAAAACTAAAAGATTCTGTCCTGAGCTCACACATGCTTTAGAAAGCTTTTCCCATATGGAACAAAACTGTATTAACCAGTCTCTTTGGGACATAACATCCCGTTATCCCATTAACATCCTGAGTACATATGCAGGCAAGTACATATGTAGCCAGGTGCTTTCAGTCCAGTTCCAGTCTTCACCAAATGTCTCCAACATAGACAAACAGAGGAACAAAAGCTAGATCACGGTTTCTTTTTATTTTAAGATGTCACTATTAACACACATTAGTGAAGCTACCCTAAGTAATCCCCTAAACACCTAGGGAATCTAAAATCGTCGAAGATTTTATTAGCCCAAGAGACCACCATTAAGAGTTTTGATTTTAGTGTTTATGTAATAAAAGTCTAACAAGCCTGACATTCTGCTTTCACCCTCTCAGACTAATGTGTGCTTTAGTGACAATATCCATTTACAAATCAATAATACATCATACATCATCCCCAGCTTTACCTCTGGAAAGTGCTAATGGAGTCAATGAACTGTCTATTTACAATTTCAAATCCTAATATATTTACAATAGAAACCAAAAGTATTTAAAACCATTAAATATAGTGTTTAACTCTGCTATATTAGTTTACATGAACACAGCTTACCTCTGGCATCATATTTCCAATGCTAATATTTCTGCCAGTAATTTAAGATTTTAAAAAAAAAAAAAAATTGCTATTCCTGGAGGGGGAAAAAAAAAAAAAAAGCTTAAAAACCAACCCAAAACCTCCAGGCATTTCAGAGCCCTGAGGAATTACCCACCCTAGACAGTCTTCAGGTAGAAGTACTGCAGTGTTCAAGAGAGACTTCCAAACTCCAGGCAAGCCTTTAAAACCTAATGCGTATGTAAAACATTAAGAGTCAGTAATCCATTGAACAGGTTTACTGGAGTCACCATTCAGTTTTTACTAAACCGTAGTCAAGAAGCAAAGTGCTGCTTTGCTGTTTCTCCCTCCATTACATTCCTTCCACCCACAGAAAGCGTTTTGTGCATCATCATCCAGAAGGGCTAAGTAGGCATTGTCTTCTCTTCTTTGCTGAAAGGCTGAACTGAGCCAGGCTTTACCCATGACAGGCCAGAAACATGCATGCTTTTGCAGTGCTGATCTTCTGGCTTCTTCTAGGTAGAAGAAAGTTAAAGTCAGAATTATTCGATATGCAGAACCCACTGAAGTCCCCCCCCATCCATTTTACCTTTGGCAAATACATGCACAGAAGAGGCTAGCATGGCTCCCTCTTCCTCAAAGAGGAACCGTAAAACGGCTATTGGTTTAACTTCTATGAATGTGTGTGGCATCTGTAGAACCGTACCCTGACATTACAAGAGGGTTTTAATGGCTCAGTTCATGTATTGCTACCCTATCATACCATAAAGATTCAAAGATACTCTTTGAATCGTGCCTTCTGATTGAAGGCCATGGCCCAGCACCACTGCACTGCTACTTGCCAAACTTCTTGGTTCTACAGAAAGAAGTGTCAATCCAAATCAAAACCTGACAGTTTTAACCTATCATTAACCTGACATTGTAACTGTAGCATAATGCTGGGCATACTGTGGAGGGGTACTCCATCCCACTGAAGGCTTCTGAACGCAAATTAATATGGCAAAGTAGCAACTGATACCTTCGCTATACCATGGAGTTTCTTAATACTTTCCAAGGACGGCCCTTCCCTGCACATTTATCAGTGTCAAATGCTTTAACAGTAACTATTTCTACCGTAACTATTTCTACCCAACACAATGCAACGAACATTTCAGACTGACTATTGCAATTCAGAAGAAAAAGAAAAAAGCTTCAAGTTAAGGGAGAAAGATGTGGCTTCAAGCACCTGTAGATTTAAAGTAGTTTAAGAAGATTAGAAAATTAGGTACCTTCTCTAGCAGGTCAAAGAAACAGAACAGCTTGCAGGTTTTTTGCATACTAGGAACTAGCCCTGCCTCCACACTGCTATAGGCTCATCAGATCATCTGTATGCCAACTACATCAAACCTGGAATGACACATCAAGTTCTAGAAAATGGTAATTACGTGAGTAGACTTTCTCATACTATGGGAAGCCTATTGCCTGACAAGGTAAATAATTACGTGAGTAGACTTTATCATCCTATGGGAAGCCTATTGCCTGACAAGGTAAATTAAGTCGGCAAGAAAACTGAACCTGCATTTCTTCTGTCCATCCCTATGTTTTGTGTAAAAGATGACACTGTGCGACAGAATTGCCATAGCACATCAGACAACAGCAAACAAGAGGGATCAGTTAAGCTTAAGCCTGGCAGAGTAGCGCCTGCCTATTGCATGCTGCACAGAGAATGCAATCTAGCAACAGCCATGTGCTCAGCAGGGAACTGGGACCTCACGGCCTTTCCTGGGCTCCAGTTCTAGTGGCCTAGTTGTTTCCCAAGGCATAGGAATTACACAGGTAATAAACAAGGATCCAGGGTTGCAGAAGAAGGGAAAGACAGGATACAGGATTAGGGAACTTCCTTTTACAGGGAAGGAAGAGAACATTCTCAGCTACACTGACATTTTGGAACAAATCTCCTAAGGCACGGAAGTTGAGTCATGCCTGCTATCAACAAACTACTCGAGCGACTGAAGTACACGTCTGCAATAGTTACTGAAGATGTTAGTTTTCACTTTAAAAGAAATTAACATGCATCTCCAAAGAAAAAGAAGAAAAGGAAAGTCATCGTTTGCTATCAGTCTCTGAGACAACATCGTATCCATTCCATTTCAAGCATCTCAACCTGTTCTTTCTCTTTAGGTCTTTGATTTAAAAGATAAGAAAGAAGGAGGTAGAGAATGAAGGAGAAGGGAGAAAGAAAATTAAAAAATTGAAAAAAAAAAGTAAAAAGTTTTTCTTGAGTTTTTATAAGAACATCAAGAAGTCAGAGTCTGATCAAAATATTTACCTGTGTGTTCTAAGGCTGGAGAAAGACCACCTCACCTCAAGCCCTGCTGTGACTCTGGCCGTTGGGAACATTGCTACACTAAGCTTACAGGCAGCCTACTGTATTAAAATCAATGTAAAAACCTCATAATGCCAGGAGACACGCAAGAACATGAGTTAAAGCTTGCAGTGAAGAAGACTGAAGTTCGGACTGACAAAAATAAATATTTTTTTTTAAAAAAAAAAGCAGCAAACCACACCACAGCTGTAGTACAAGGAGCCCAGGTCAGTAACTAAAACATTCAGAGCGCATATCCTTGCCAGTCCCACAAAGATACCAGCCACCATTTTAGAATCCCTAGGCCCTGCAAGTGGATTGACTTGTCATGCCACTCAGTGCAGACTCAGAATTGCTGTGCCAGCTCTTGTCAAGTGCAAAGAAATAATAATAAAAAAAACACAACAAAAAAACCAAACAACAAAACCAAACACCCCCCACCCCCAAAACCAAAGGTGGTGCTCAGGTGAAAGATATATGAACCAACACATTCCTG